AATCACAATAGCTGGCTCCTCACAGCACCTGGTTCCTTATATGTCATCCAGATCTTGAGGAAAGCTGAGAGAACTTCTCTCTGAGAGGTGGCACTGGGATCCCACGGCTCAGGCTGATGTCAGATCCAGGCCATCCTATTGAAAAGCTGCTCAAATTCTCACCAGAAGTCCAGTGTAGGGGTTGGGAACTGTTCTGCACATGTGTCTAGGGCCTACTTCCTCCACTAGCTTTGCCATGCCCTAATCTCCTATCTTAGGAATAGGAGCGCTGCCTAGGATGAGGGCACCTGGGCCAAGGAGGGCTTCAGCAGTAGGTTTCAGGCAAGCTCAGCTTCCTGATCTGTGTCCTGTGCCCTTGCCTTAGACCCTCTTTGCCCTCTAGTGTCCTGGCAAGAGTCAATTTCCTGCCAGCAGGTCTCAGGCTGTAGCCCATGGCTGGTGTGGGGAAGGAGCCTGATGAGTGTGGAATGGTGCCTCCCTTAGTCTACACCCAGGGACTGGAACTTAGAAGGGGCAGAGAAGGGGACCGTGGCTGTGGACGAGCTGGTACAAGAGATGCAGGTGCCCACTCAGGCAGATGATCATGAAGGGTACACAGTTCTGTGATGCGCAGGGCTCTGCCACTGTGAACTGGAAGGGCCAGTCTGATGTCCCCAAGGGCTCCAGGCTACCTCTAGGGGGGCGGTTGTGGCCAACTGCAAGTTCAGTCCCTGAGACCCACGCCCTTGCCCCTCTACAGTGGCTCTGAGTCCCTGACCAGCCAGTCTCCTCCCTGCTGCCTGGACCTGACAAGGGCTGAGCAGGGTGAAAGTGGGGTTTGCAAGCTTTTCCAGGATTAGAAGCCTAACATGTTATGTGTTAAGTTAGGTGAGTCCTAGTAGGTGTATGAGGAGCTAATAAGACAAGACGACTCAGCTATTGTGTCCCTCACCCAGCACCCAGCTAGGTGTGTGCTCTAGGAGCACCTGGCACCTTTTACGTGAGATACTAAAAAAAATTTTTTAACACCATGTGGAGAACAAGACAGAACTATGAAATGTCCTTGGGTCGATGAAGGAAATGGCAAACAGCTTCCCTTCCACACAGCTTCCAGTGGGGCCCAAGGCTAGAAAGAGGTGAGGAGACCGGGGTGTGGGGCAGCTGCCCCCTGGTGGTCAGTAGGGACACAACACTTGGAACTGCAAGCAAGTGGGGACTGAAAATCTGAGAAGCCAGGATTCTCTCAGGGTAGATTGGCTGGCCTTCTCCTCTTTGGGAAGCTGTACTGCAGAGCACCATGGGAAGGATGTGGGCCTGTTAGCTAATGTCTCTGGACCTCATTTCTCTCATCCTGTGCTATCAAGGAGGCCTCAATAGGGCCACTTCAAGGGTGAAGGACACAGGCCAGGCCCACAGGACGGTCAGTGCTTGCTCTGAAGGCTCCTTCCTGTGGCTGGTCAGCTTGACCATGTAATGAGTGGTGGATCCTGAGATCCACTTCCTCTGATGACTTATTCACGTAAGCCAACCTGCTACATGGAAACCTCAGGGGCTAGAAAGGATGTTCGTATTTATATTTATTTATTAAAAGGCTAGTAAATGTGCAGACTGAATTATCGTAACAGTCCTAGAAGTGAATTTTTTCTTATTTTACAGATGAAGACAGGCTCAGCAGGGTAAACAGGTATGCTGAAGAAGCCACAGAAATTTCTAGAATGGAAGGATGAACCCTATGCCCTCAACATGGCAAGGCTTTAGAGGCATGGCATTGTTAAGGAGTTACCTACTAGGTGTGGGTGTCAGGGACACAGCTCTTCAATGCCCTTGGGGTGGGGTGAAGGAGAGGAGAACTTCTTCAATCTTCTCCCAACACCCACCACTCTGGGCAGCACCTAGGCCCTTGTAACACAGACTTCTGAGCTGGAAACTGTTAGGGAGCAGCAGCATCCTGGCACCCAGAGCCGACTGGGCCAGCCCTGACACCTATCTGAAGGGCAGCCAATCTATAGGTTGGTAAGGGGTGTGGCAAGCGAAAGCCACACCCAGCAGGGGAGGAGCCTTCAGCCAGAAGGTGCTATAGGGGCGGTGAGAGCAGGAAGACACTGCATTGAACAGGTGGAGGCAGGAAACCTAGAAGGACCCATGTCCTGTCACTAGGACACAGGTAGCTGACCCCACTGTTGGAGCTGGATTTGGTACCTGAACATCTTATGCTCATTTAGACCTGGTTCTGTAGTGCAGTTACCTGCTTCACAGGTAAGCAAACTGCAGCACAGAGGGATTAGACGACCTGGCCTGGGCCATACAGCTGGTGCAGCAGGAGCTGAGGTCTGAACAGCAGAGCTGTTCCCATTGTCACTCACTGGTCTTGGTCAAGGCAGGTATGATGTCCACTGCTTGGTACCTGACTTGAATTAAGGGGAGAGCTTTTAACATTGTATGGCCACGTATGGTGTCTGCTTTGGAGACCCTTGTCATCTTGTTCCTTACCATGCCTAATTGTGACCACCAGTGGAGCTTGAATGTGTTTAATGCTTTCTCTGTATCTAAAGTCACAAGGTTTCTCATTTAACTTGTTATTCCAATATCTACCTCTGCATCAAAACCATCCCAGAATGCAGTGGCTTCAGACACTGCAGTGGCACTGATTTGCTTGTCAACCTACATGTGGGGCAGAGCTTAGCCCCCTTTGTCCTCCATAGTCTTCTTTCCCCTTTCCCTGGCAAAACCCTCATGGAATTTACACTTTTTGTTTTGTTGTTTTTTTGAGACAGGGTCTCACTATGTAGTTGAGACTGACCTGGAACTCACTATGTAGCCCAGGCTGGTCTCGAACTCATAGCAATCCTCCTACCTCAGCCTCCCAAGTGCTGGGGTTACAGGCGTGTGCCACCACACCCAGCTTTACACTCTTGAAAATAAACCCCAGAAAGGAAGAAGTCTCCAGGTCCAGTCTACTTCTATCTGTTTCCTCCAGCCACACCCAGAACTGACTTCCTAGAAATGGGAAAGAAAAATGATCTAGGATGAAATCTGCATGGCACCTTAAGAATTGCTCTGCTCCACCAACTTTGGGCACAGGGTAGGGTGGGACAGTCTGGTAAAGGTCCCCAGGGCCACTGTGAGGGGCTCTCTTCCCAGCTCAACCTCAGTGACAGCTCACTGGGAGCTTGAGAGTTCCGGGGGTATTGCCTCACTCAGAGTAGCTGTCAACATTAATCAGCCTAAGTCAGGTGTGGTGGCACACACCTGAGGCAGGAGGATCACCACGACAAGTTCAAGGCCAGTTTGGGCTATGAAGTAAGATCCTTTCTCAAAAATCAAACAAAAAAACATTTACCAGCATAGTCCTGGGCAGGAGCCACAGCTAATAGCAGCCAGGGTTTGAGGGATAGATGGAAATTCAGCTGAGAAAGCTGGCAAGAGTCCCCCTCCTTTGTCAAGTTTATTTTATTAAAATATATAGGACTGAATATTGGTAGGCGCTGAGAACAGGAACCACCTTCCCAGGCTGCGCCCAAGGGAGACGCTTCTGCCATGCAGACATGCGGCCCATTGTGGCTGAGCATGGGAGATGGGGGTCCAGGGGGTGTGGTGGCAACTGTCTCCTGTGCCTTGGCCCCTGAGAAGCACAGGATGTTAGCTGGGAGGGGGAGATCCCTGAGCCAGGGGAGGCTGATTCACACCCCCTGGAGGAGGGGAAGGGGACCCCAGGAGACTGGAAATGTCAGTGCAACTCCATGAGGGGCCCCAGCTGTGCACAGTGGGGCTCACAGGGTCCCACAGCCTGGCCATCCCACCTTTCTTCTGAGGGCTCTGCTCACCTGGGGGTGGTGTCCTGGAGCGCCCAGGGGCCAAGACTGGCCTGAGCAACGTGGGTGGCCGATGGAATGTATCATGTGGGAATGTTCCTCGAAAGGGTGCTCTGCTCTTGCTGTTGCCCCCCTCGGGTCTCCATCCCCCAGGCAGGGCTACCCAGCAGGGTCCCCGGTTTGTGCTTCTGAATGTTGGTGAGCAGGCTGGGAGTAGTCTTCAAGACCCCATGGCTCTGGGGCAAGGAATGCCCAGGGCTCCTTCCCAGGGGCACTAAGGCCTTGGCCCCCAGGAGGGCCTTGAGAGTGGCCCTGGCTGCCCTCCAGAGCAGAGTGCCTGTGCTTTTGTAGGGCCTGGGATAAGCCTGTGGGAGAGCCCCATGGAGCTCCAGGGAGATGGGGTGTGGGGAAGGGACGGAAAGCCCTGCCTGGGCCCTCCCAGGCTCCATGGCTTCCGGTCCCTCAGCCATGTCACTTCCTCCCAGGACTGAGCTGACCTGGGGGAGGACAGCCTGGTGCTGGGGGCCGCAGCACTCTCCTGCATTCCCACCAAGCCAGAACCTGGGATGGAGAATGGCATCCAGGGGCCCTCACCACCCAAAATGGCCTGGCAGTGGGTGGCCTGGCACTGGCCCAGCTTGCCCAGGTCAGTATCCCCAGCCTTGAGTACTGGGCTCTCAGGAAGCAGCAGGCTCAGGCCTGTGACCACCTCCATCTTAGTCTGAACTCCTTGAGCCCTGCCTACCCCAGCGCCCCACAGTGAGGGCCTCTCTGGGGACACAGGTCCTTGGTCAGGGAGTGCAGGGGAGGAGGCCAGAGGAGCTTGGGGTCCCCATTTAGTGGGAAAGGAGAGGGAGGGTCCTGTGCTTTGGAGATGCTCTTTCAGGCTCTTGAGCCCCTGCCTGGTGACATCTACTGACTGGTAAATGGGTTGCCCACCTCAGAGGCAGCTTCCTTGCTCCACTGGCTTGGGGACAGCTGTTGAGGAACTCTGTGTGTGTGTGTGTGTGTGTGTGTGTGTGTGTGTGTGTGTGTGTGTGTGTATCAGGAGTGAACTGCTCACTTTTTTCAAATATATCGGAAAAAAGTTTCAGTTTCTTGGGAGTGGAGTGGCAATGGCCACCCAGCACCTCCTCTGCACATCCTAGATGACGTTTTCGAACAGCTGCATGGAGTTCATGATGTTCTCATCCTGTGTGTATCGAGTGAACTGCTCACTTTTTTCAAATATATCGGAAAAAAGTTTCAGTTTCTTGGGAGTGGAGTGGCAATGGCCACCCAGCACCTCCTCTGCACATCCTAGATGACGTTTTCGAACAGCTGCATGGAGTTCATGATGTTCTCATCCTGTGTGGAGAGCGGAGGAGAGAACTGGTAAGGGTGGGCAGAGGAGGGCAGGGGAAGGGTATTTCCAATCTCCCAACCCCAGCAGCTTCCTCTCAGTGGGAGGGTGGGGGCGCTGAGGCACAGAGATGGGGAGTAGCTGGTCTGAGGCTGGTCACCTCCTGCTGGTCCCTGTCTGCCTCTCCATGGGCCATCATCTCATCCCACAGCCCCAGGCAGGCCCATGTCCAGCCCTCTGGTGCCACCTACCTTCTGACAGGTCTCCAGGAACTCTTCAATGGTCACCACCCCATCCTGGTTCCGGTCCATTTTCTGTGACCCAAGCCAAATCCAAGGTGAGTGTGTTCCCATAAGGGACAATCCCTGTTATGGTTTCTATCTAGACGTACCCCAAGAGCCTCATGTGCTCACAGGTGGGGCGTTGGAAGGTGAGTGAATTATGGGGGATTAGAGCTGACTTGCTAGGAGGTAGGGCCACAGATGCGTGGCCTAGAAGCATTCACCCCCTCTCTGGCTCCTCTCTTCTCTCTCTGCTCTCTGGCTGCCAAGCCATGAGCAGCTCTAGCTCTCCTCCACCATACTGCCTGCCTTGTGACCTGCTGACTGTGGACAGAAACCTCTACAGATTATGAGCTAAATAAACCTCTCCTTTAAGTTGTAGGTTCTCAGTGACAAGAGAGTGACTAAGTTTCTGACACCAATGGGAGGATGCTCAAAGGATGGGGCCCCTTCTGCCCCATGTGTCTCTCTCTGTCCCCACCCTGGATATGCACAGCTGCTCCCTGCCTGGGCTGCCTTGCCCAGAGCACCCCTGCTCCCTGATGACCTCCCAGGGCTGGTATCCATGCTCATGTGACCTCTGGCTTCTCTGAATGGAATCTTTAGAGGCACAAGATGGCTTCAGGTCTAGAGGTCCCAAGCCAGGGCAGCTGAACCATCAGATCCCAGGCCTCATGGACACAGAGCAAGAGGCCCCAAGTCCACTGTCTTGCAGCCTAATTCCTCAGAGAGTTGGAAATGGCCCCCCAAGGTTCTCGCCCAGCCAGGTGCCTTGGATCCCAGAGCCCCAGGTGGATGAAATCTGGTGGGAAGGCCTGGCTTTAACTCAGCCCCATATAATAATAACATAATAATCAAGATCCCGGAAACCCAACAGAAATACAAAATACTACATGCAGTTAGAGAAAAGAAACAAATGACGTCAAAGGAAAGCCCATGAGAATCACAACTGACTTTCAACAAAAACCCTCAAGTCAAGGAGAGCCTGTAGTGCTGTATTTCAAACTTTAAAACAACCTCCAACCTAGGCTGATGTATCCTGCAAAACTATCTTTCAAAGTTGATAGAGAAGAGATTTTTACGACAAAGAACACCTGAGAAACTTCATGAATAGCAAACCAGCACTCCAAACACTTTTAAAAAATATCATAGAAAAAGAGAATGAAGGTCACAACTCCATGAGGCATGACAGAGCAAATCCAATAGGCAAGAATTTAAAGGGAGAGGGAGAAAAATAAACCAGGAAAATAATGTGATAATGACAAGTCAATACATATCAGTTATAACCATCAATGTCAATGGCCTCAACTCACCAATCAAAAGAAACAGACTGGCAGAATGGATTAAGAACCAAAATCCAACAATATGCTGTATACAAGAAACACACCTAGTTCAAGAAGAAACTCATAGACTCAAAGTAAAAGGATGGAAAACAGGTCTCGATGAGACAGGAACCTGGAAAAAAGCAGGGGTAGCTATCTTATTCACAAAGTAAATTTCAAACGAAAACTAATTAAGAGAGACAAAGAAGGTCACTACATCCTTCTAAAGGGAACAATCCAAGAGGAAGACATGACAATGATAAATATATATGCACCAAATACTAATACCCCCAAGTATACAAAACAAATATTAAGGGATATGAGACACCAAATTAGCACTAATACAATTGTGGTGGGGGACCTCAATACCCCATTGTCACAAATAGATTATCTAGATTAAAAATCAACAACGAAATACTAGAACTGAACCAAGCTTTTGAACAAATGGGCTTAATACATGTCTACAGAGTGTTCCACCCACAAAATCAGCATATACATTCTTTTTGGCTGCACATGGGTCATTTTCCAAAATAGACCACATACTAGCTCACAGAACATGTTTAAGTAAATGCAAAGAAACTGAAGTTATCTCATGTATATTATCAGACCATAGTGCAATTGAACTAGAGATCAATAACATAAGAAACCATAAAAACTTCACAAACGCATGGAAATTGAACAACACTCTCCTGAACAACCAATGGGTCACAGCAGAAATTAAAGACAAAATTAGATAGTTTTTACAATTTAATGACAATGCCAGTACAACATACAGGAATCTATGGGATACAATGAAAGAAATTTTATGTGGGAAATTCATAGCAGTGAATGCCTAGGGAAACTAGGGAAACACAGCAAGGTCAAATAAACAGCCTAATGGTGAATCTTAAGCTCCTAGAAAAAGAAGAACAGGAGGAAACCCAAAGCTTATACAAGGAAGGAAATTAAAAAGATCGGAGCAGAAACCAATGCAATAGACTAAATGAATCAAATAGTTGGTTTTTGAAAGAATAAATAAAATCGATAAACCCTTAGCCAACCTTATCAAAAAAGGAAAGAAAAGGTTCAAATTCATGCAATTAGGAATGAAAATGGTGAAGTCACAACAGATTCAGCAGAAATCCAGAGGATCATTAATACTTACTTTGAGAACAGGTACTCTAATAAAATGCAGAACATAGAAGAAATGGACAGATTTCTAGATACATATGAATTACCAAAGTTGAATGAAGGAAATATAAAAATTTTAAACACCCCAATTACAATCAGTGAAATTGAAAATGTAATTTAAAATTTACCAACAAAGACAAGCCCAGGTCCTGATATCTTCACTGCTGAATTCTACAAGACATTTAGAGAAGAACTATTGCCACTACTTTTTAAACTTTTCATGAAATTGAAAGAGAAGCAATACTTCCAAATTCATTCCTGGAAGCAAGTATTACTTTGTTTCTAAAAACAGGGAATGACCCAACCAAAAAAGAGAACTACAGGCCAATCTCCCTAATGAATATAGATGCAAAAATCCTCAATAAGATACTGGCAAACAGAATTCAGAGGGTCATGAAGATCAGTCAACCTGACCCAGTAGAATTTATCCCAGGGATGCAAGGATGGTCCAACATATGTGAATCAATAAATGTAATACACTATATTAACAGAATCAATGACAAAAACCGTATGATCCTATCAATAAATGCATAAAAAACATTCGACAAAATTCAACATCCATTCAAGATTAAAACTCTACAGAAAATTGGAATAGATGGTCTTTATCTCAACTTGATAAAGGCTATCTATGAAAAGTCAATAGCTAACATCATACTAAATGGTCAAAAATTGAAACCTTTATGCTAAAATCAGGAATGAGACAAGGATGTCCACTATCACCACTCCTGTTTAATATAGTTTTGGAAACATTAGCCACAGCAATTAGACAACAGAAAGAAATAAAAGCAATAAAGATGGGAAAGAAAGAAGTGAAATTGCATTATTTGCTGATGATATGATACTCTATATAGAAGATCCGAAGAACTCCACCAAAAGATCCCTAAACTTCATCGACAGATTCAGTACAGTAGCTGGATACAAGGTAAATACTAAAAAATCAATAGCCTTTATGTACACAAATAAGTCTCACTGAGAGTCAAATTAGGGAGACAATTCCTTTCACAATAGCATCCAAAAAAATGAAATATCGAGGAATCAATCTAACAAAGGAGACAAAAGAGCTCTACACTGAAAACTACAGCGCTCTAAAAAAATAGATTGAAGAGGATATAAGAAAATGGCAAAACATTCCTTGTTCCTGGGAAGGAAGAATAAATACAGTGAAAATGGCCATACTTCCAAAACTGCGATACAGATTCAGTGTACTCCCTATTGAAATCCCAACAGTTTATTTAATAGAACAATCCAAAAATTCATTTGGAATCAGAAGAGACCTAGAATAGCAAAAGCAATTCTAGGCAACAGAGACAGTGTAAATGGTGTTGGAAAAACTGGATTTCACCTTGTTAAATATTAAAACTAGATCCGTATCTTTCACCATGCACTAAACTAAAATCCAAGTGGATTAAACATATAAATATTAAAACAGAAACACTAAACTTGCTGGAAGAGAAATTAGGTAGAACTCTTGAAGGTATCGGCATAGGAAAAGACTTTATGAACAAATCCTCAGTAGCATGGGAACTAGCACAAAGAATCAACAATTGGGATCTCATCTTTTTAAAAAGCTTCTGAACCACCAGAGAAATCACAAGCAGAGCCAAGAGACAACCTACAATGTGGGAAAAAATTTTTACCAGCTGTTCCTCAGACAAAGGTCTACTATCCAGAACATACAAAGAACCCCAAAAAATCAGACCCCCCAAATATAAAGACCCAATTAAAAAATGGGCATCTGAAATGCACAGACATTTCTCAGACAAAAAAGTAAAAGCAAATAATCATATGAAAAAATGTTCCACATCACTGGTCATTTGAGAGATGAAAACATCACTGAGATTCCATCTCAACCCAGAAAGAATGGCTGCTATTAAGAAATCAATGAGTAACAAATGTTGGCAGGGTTGTGGGGAGATAGGAACCCTTCTTCATTGTTGGTGGGAGTGCAGACTGGTGCAACCACTGTGGAAATCAATATGGAGATACCTCAAACAACTAGGATTAGAAGTCCCATTTGACCCAGCTATTCCTCTGCTGGGTATCTTCCCAAAATAATTAAAAGAATCATACCACAGTGATATATGCTCACCCATGTTTATAGCAGCACAGTTTGTAATAGGTAAAACTTGGAAACAGCCCAATTGCCCATCAGCTGGAGACTGGATACAGAAGATGTGTTCTTTTAAAAAATAAAATGGAGTACTACTCAGCCATAAAGAATGAGAAACTAGAAAGATTTACAGCTAAGTGGATCACATTGAGGCCATACTCAAGTGAAATCAATAAGTTACACATGTGTAAATACTGAATAGTTTCTCTGGTGTGAAAAAGTAGAAGTGTAAATAAGGATTAAGATGTATAATTGATACTGTGTAATAGGAAGAAAGACTAGAGGAAGTGGGAGGGGTAGGGGAAAGGTAAAAAAAGAAAAAAAATTTGTGAAAAGGAAAAACATGGAAACAATGTCTTTGTAAACAGGGAAGGGAGGAGGGGCTGAGGGGAGGGCTGGGGAATGGGGAAAATAAGAACCTGATAAGTCATGTATAGGTACAAGATCTCAATGATGAATATAACTGCGTTGTATACCTGATATGTACCAATAAATTTAATAAAGATAAAAAAAATAAACTCATTCCCCAGGGGATTTGGCCAGTAACCATGCTGGGTCTGCCCCAGGGACAAGGGGCATCTCAGCTCTGGGGTGGGGCTTGCGCACCTGGAAGAACCTCTCCACGTGTTCCAGAGGTGCATCCTCCCGCAGGATGGGGTAGGTGTGGTGGCCCATCATGTCGTAGATGGATTTCATGATGGCCAGCATCTCCTGGAAGGGGGACAGGAGGACTAGTATGAACTGGTTGCAGGGACTCAGCTGGGTGGTGGCTCTTGGGGCCCCAATGGAGGGGGCTGCCTCCAAGATCAAGGCCACCCCCAGGACAATGGTGGGCAAGCAAGAGGGGCCGTGTTCCAGAGAGAGAGATGGGATTGTCCTCGCTGGTCCAAGACAAGTTGAAGGCAGAGCAAAGTGCCCAACTCCAAAACTTGAGCAGGCAGCAATTATTTCAGATACCAAAAAGAGAAAGAAAAGCTTGGGCCAAACAAAAATCCATCTGTGGGTCTGCGTGGTGAGGGCCTGTCTGCAACCTTGGCTTAAGGGACCACACTGCCCCCCTGCATCCATACCCCTCTCCATTTGGCTCCCCAGGGCCCCTCCATGGCTGGGGTGAATGGACACATGTGCTGACCAGGCAGAGTGCCAGGGAGAGGAGCCTGCAGGCTGCTGTACCCTGGTGGCTGAGTGCCACCAGGACAGAGACAGGAAACAGGAAGAGAGATCAGGCAAGGAGCAACTGGAGGGGAGCAAGGGCAGATGGGCCACTGCCTGACACCTGGTACCTCTTTGGTGATATAGCCATCCTTGTTAATGTCGTAGAGATTGAAAGCCCACTTGAGCTTCTCATGGACTGTTCCTCGCAGCAGGATGGAGAGCCCGACCACAAAGTCCTGCAGGGGAAAGGGAGGTGAGGAGTGAGGAGCCAGCCACCAACCCCTCGTTTCCACTTCACTGTGTGGCTTCCACTGAGATTCCCAGCTCTACAGGCAGCATGGCTCCCCAATGGGGTGTCCAGTAGAGTCCATTCGGGGGGACATAGGTGAGTGTATGCATGTGTGTGGTGGGGAACCACATGGTCCTGATCTTGGATAAAAATAATCCACTATGCAGTGCCTTGCTAGTGACAGATAAGTCTCAGGGGATTGTATGATAGAGGAGGAGTTCTACTTCTAGTTCATCAAGCATCTGCAGGTTGAAATATTATACAATAGATAAGTTAACTAGGCATCTCATAGGCAGTTAGACAGGGCAGGCCCACAAGAAGCCAACACAGGGGAGAGTAAAAAAACCAACACAGAGGACAATCAAGACACATTCACTGAAGCCCAGCACTGTAAAAGGAGAGAAAACTACCACACTCACACAGGATAAATAGCAGTGACTGATAATTCTAAATAGGTATCAATCACCCGGGTGGGGGACCAAGATCTCCAGGAAAGATTCCTGGCCCACACCTTAGTGAAAATCCTTGCTCAATTCCTTGTATGCTTGCTGATTACATGACTTGCTTCCCCATTGGATCCCCATTTAATCAATATTACTTAAGTGACTATACTTGATCTTATTGGTTGACTGCAGTTTTGTCCACTTTGTGATTTCTCATTGGATCAATATTACCTAAGCAACTGTACTTGCAATTTTATTAGTTGGCTAGTTTTGTCCCACCTTGAACCCTTCTTACCTCATGGCTTTGCCCCATAAAACACCTTTGAGCATCAGGGCCAGCAGGCAACCCACTTTCTGGTCCCCCTCCTGTCTCTCTTATAAACTATCTTTCTCTCAATGAATTTTTTCTCTTCTTAACCTCTGTTGTTTCACGCACTCAAGTGTCAGATATCTAGCAGGTTTCAGAATTATATCTACTCCCCCTATAGCAGAAGGTACTTGAAAACTTTCAGTTTAACAAACTAAACTAGCAGTGCTCAACTCCTAAGCCATCCCTATGCGCCACCATCGCTGTGGGCTATGACCAACACATATCACTAACACGACACAGCTGTGTTCCAACACACCAGAAAGAGAAAAGCAATTTGGGAGAAACAAGAATTATTCCAGGAGAAAAACACGGTTTAGATTCAGAGATTAGAAACCTTGCATCCTTAAAGTAAGAACAGGATACTATTTTAAAAGAGGAATGAAGGTGGTGGGATAACATATGCCCATAATCTCAGCATTCCGGGAGGCAGAGACAAGAAAATCCCAAATTCCAGCCCTGCATGGGCAAACTACTGACTTAGGCCCCATCTCCAAAAAATTAATTAAGGAAAGAAAGAAACAAATAAATAAATAGATAAAGGTCTGGGAGTGTAGCTCAGTGCAAAGATCCTGGGTTCAACCCCAGTAGCACATGTGTGGGCGCGCACACACACACACACACACACACACACACATATGTCTGGAAAACAAAAGCTCTTGGGAATTGAAAGCAAGACAGAATGACAGACTTAGAAGAAGAGTTGGAAGGGCAACCAAAACTGATTTTGTTTTGTTTTGTTTTTTTTGTACTGGGGATTGAACTCTGAACCTTGCGCTTGCAAGGCAGGCAGTGCCACTGAGATAAATCCCCAACCCTTTTAATATTTTTGTAACCAGAACTTTCTGTAAGGAGCAATGAGAAGGCAAAGAAAAGTGCTGGAAACTAGAAAAGAGGACACTGAGAGAGCCACCCTGAGAGTCAATGTTAGGACATCAGGAGATCCAGGAAGAACCAGAGAAAATGGAGAACAGTGTGTGAAAGAAATTTTGAAAGATTTCCAAGAAAGGAAAGTTTCCAGATACCAGGGTCCCCGGGGCTGGCACAAGGCCTGAAATCAGGGGCAGCTGGACCTTAGGCATAGATCCTGGTGGTATTTCAAAGCTCCAGCCAAGAGAAGACCCTATAAGCTTCAGAGAGAAAAGTAAAGCCAAACAGCAAGAACCTAAATCAAGTCCACCCACAGGACTCAGCTGGCAGTGGCTTTTCAACAGCCCCCTGAAGGCAGGAAGCCATCAGGAGGCTAGCAGGGGAAGGCCCAGGCCTAAGGGAGCAGTCTCAGGAGTTTTGGTCTAGGCAAAATGCCTAGTGAGGGTGAAAACCACCTCCTTTATAGTATGGATCAAAAATGTCCTCCAAAAGGCTCATGTGTTCAGAGGTGGGCTTTCAGAAGACTGGATCATGGGGGTACCACATTCATCAGGATTAATCCATTGATGAATTCGCAGTTGACTGTGTGGCCGGGTTGGAGAAAGTAGGTGATCCAGGCTGTGCCTTCGAAGGGTATATGCATCTCCTCAAGCTTTTTCCCTCTCTTGGCTTCCATGATGTGAGCAGCTACCACACCCATTCACCATGATGTTTCTGCCTTGGTGCCAGCTGACCATGGTGGGAACCCTCTGAAACCATGTCCCCCCACAAACCACTTCTCCTTCAAGTTGTGTGTCAGGTATTTTGTCCCAGCAAAAGAAAGCTAATGGACACAGGTCCTGTATACACTTTTAGAGGGGACTGCTGCAGGATGTGCCCCCGAAGAGACCAGAAAGTGGGAAATGATAAGGAGCCCCCAGTTAGGGGATATAACTCAGAGGAGAAAGGGAGATCTAGAGGGTGCTCAGCCCCATGAAGCTGTGGGAGGCCAGGGCCACATCCTCCAAGAGATGCCAGAAAAGAAGTTTAGGCTGGAGAAGGACCTCCAGACCAGGGGTTCAATGCATGATGCGGTCACAGACAGCCAGGCAAAGGAAAGGTCATGACTGTTGTTGACAGCAGCAAAATACAAAGATGTGTGGGTGAGGAAAGCATCGTGGAGGGTGACTGCAAGGCTCTGCTGGGTACTGGATACATATCCAACTGGCTGTTGGAAAGTGGGGATGGAAAATATGTTCGGGGTGGCCCAGCTTCTCCTCACCCAGAGCAGAGGACCAAGACACACTGTCTAAACTGGATGTTGAGGAGAACCATAAAATCATGGCCCTGGGAGTCTCAGAGGAAGATGACGACAGCTGGCTAAACAAGACATGGCAGCCACCTGCAGGTCTCCAAAGCACACCCTGAAGATCTGCTGGACTCAAGCTGTGTGTGTGAGAGAAGACAGGAGGACAGAGCAGAAGAGAAAGACTGTGACATCTCTTGTACATCTGAGTTTGGGGAGCAACCAGCACTGTGGATATCTGTGGGTTACATAAGTAGGGAACCTGGGGTGTGACAGGATTTGCCAGTGGGAGGCCCAGGCATGGGGTTTTGCTTGGCACCCATCCTTCTCACTGGTCCAGGAGGGTGCCAGTGCCACATTTCTCTGGTTTTGTCTTCACAGAAGCCTCCTGCTCAGCACACAGCCTGCTGACATCCAAGAAAGGTCCCCACCCAGTGTCCCTCAGCAAGTGTGTTACAGAAAGGACAGTACTAGGAGACAGTGCATGGGACTGTCCCCTGCAAGGCCCCTGATGTTAACACTGAAGTTACCCCAAAAGCAGCTGACTCAGATCAACTGGATGGTGGTTCTAAAATTCCTGGGACACAGCAGTTTGATGTGTGACTACCTGCAGTTATGACGCCAGGCCTGTAAAACTCAGCCTGTTTTATCCACAGCCCCCGATCTGCAGCTGCCCCCAAGGCAGTACTAGGGCAGGTGTGAGGCTCCTGTAGTGACAAGGCCGACCTGGGGCTCCAGGCTGAGACCATCAGCATGCACATGAGGGTACCTGGCAGAGCCAGAGCTGGTGGGAGCCCTGAGAGGTTCTGGGCTACTGCCTGCCCCAGGTAGTGTCACTCCCCCCGTGGCCAGGGATGCCTGGCTGTGCCATGGATGCTGAGCAGTATACTGTAGGGCAGCGACAGAGAGGCAGCCACCCCCCAGACTCACGCTGCTATTAGTCTCCAGATAATCAACTCTGCCAATGCCACTTCTGCCCCGCCAACCTGACTTTCTCCTTGGTTCTGAGAAACCACTCAAAGGTCACTGTCTTGAGCCTCTCAAGCTCATCTTGAGCAAGATGAGCTGAGTAAATTAGGCAGTGCTGGGTGACACTCTCAGGGAGGAGAGGAGGCCAACCCTGAGGTGGCACATGGGACCACATCTCCCACTTAGCTCCTTTTCTTCTCTTTTCCCTTCCTTCCTTCTTTCCTCCTTTTTGGTTCTCATTGTGATGAGGGGAAGAAGTGATAATATTTTATTGTACCAGGAGACTGTAACAGGTACATGTATGGTCTCTAGGCATCAAGAGAAACTACTGCTTGCCATAGGCACTGTTAAGCAGCGTTGACCTCCTTTTTAAGGGCAGGGGAAGTCCTACGTCTGGCAGTGAGGGCTGAGGGACCTTCTCAGCCACTGGGATCCCAACCTGTGGTGCAGCAGGGACAGGCCGTGGGGATACGCGTGCCCTTCCTCCCTGAGAAAGGTCTCTCAGAGCACAGCAATGAAGTCAGGAAGTTCCTCAAGGGACCCATAAGCAACCAGAGATTTGTCTCCTGAGCGGAAGGTTCAGAACAGCACCTGGGGCAGGGCCTCTCTGAGACAGTGCCCAGTGGGGGTTCAGCACGGGACCTACCTTAGCCACTGACGGGTCCCCTCACTTGTTGCCTTCAAGGAACTCTGGAACCCCTGCTGGGGGAGTGACAGGTGGAGGAAGGGTGACCAGGACCTTCCCAAGCCCCTGACATGCTGGACAAGAAAAACTGTCCCCCACATGCAGTTGGACCCACTGCACTGGATCCCAACTCCCACCTTGAGCCTGAGCAAGGTGACCAGCAGAATCTGGTGACCAGGAGGGTGGGGGGAGCCTATGCCTTGTCTCCTCTACTCCTCTGCACTGACTGGGTTTCCTGAGGACTGTGGTACTGGTACTTTGGATGTGAAGAGATTGAGACTGAGGGAGACATCCACGCTGTGTGCTCCATAGGCAGTGGCCCAGGAGTACTGTTCTGGGTGGGAGGGGCCCTGTGGTCACGGGGAGGCTGGGGCTCCAGCTGCCTGTGTCCGGTGTGTCAGCGTGTGGTGGGCACGCAGGGTAAAAATAACCCGACTGGTGTTATCGATGGGTTATTATTACCCTGCATCCAGGGCCTCCTCGGCCACTTTCCTGTCGGCGGGCGCCCTTGGCCCTGGAAGCAGAGTGGGGCGGTGATCGATCGATCGTCTCCGCAAGGTTTTCCTCTCTGAGGAGGTTTCAGCTTTGCGCCTGCAGCTATTTTTAGTGGTGTGGGCTCCACAGATGGGGCCTTGCTCAAATGATCCCATGTGGCCAAGCAGGGAGGAGCCCAGACAGATGGCTGAGCCCTCTGGGAGAGGCTGCAGGGGGCGAGGTGGCTGCTTCTCCTTAAACTGGCACCGAGGAGCCCTGGGCTTCACCCCATCTCTGGCTGGGGTTACCACGTAGAGCAGAATGCACTCAGGCTAAGTGTGTTCTGGATATTTCTGGTTGGTTCTACTAGCTCAGTAAAGAGGAGTAAATTCTGGCATCAAGAGCTTGAAATCCCACCCTTAGCAAGCCAGACCCCTTTAAAAATACAAACCACGTGGGGTCACTTCCAGTTCTGTGAATCTGCAGCCCCCTTGGTTTGCAGGGCTGGATATGAACTCCTAGAATTCAAGGGGAGGCTGAGAACAGGTCTCCAGAGCAGGACCCAATCCCTCTTGACCTTCCCTGCAGGTGCAAGGACCTTCAGAGACGCACCTCGAAGTGGATAGCCCCATTCCCATCGGCGTCGAAGGCGTTGAAGAGGAAGTGTGCATAGGTGGTGGCATCTGGGGACAGCAAGGCGAGGCTGAGTTGGTTGGGAGGGCTGCATGGAAGCCTGGGCCCTCCTGGGGCAGCTCCCACTCCCACCTCCACCCCAGGGCTCCAGCTCCTGGACAGGAGTCTCCCCTCCAGGGCAAAGTAGGCAGCACTGGGTCTCCAGAAGGAAGGAGCTGGCAGGGTCCCCTCCCTGTGGGGCCGTCAGGAAGTCTGGGCCTGGTCTCAGCCGGACTCACCTCCCTGAGGGAAGAACTGCGAGTAGATGAGTTTGAAGGTGTCTTCATCCACCAGGCCCGTAGGACACTCCTAAAGTGGAAGTCACCCTTCAGTGGCTCAGCTACCCCTGCTCCAGCACTCAGGGACGAGGGGCACAGGGTTGGCTGGCGCTCCCACCCCCGTGTCAAGCTCCACCCCGGCACTGTCTTGGAGACTCAGAGAAAGGAGCACCGTGACCCTCACAGTGCCTACTTCCTGGACAGCTCTTCCTTGGGTATTCACGGTGATCTGGAGAAGTTCTAGAAGACTCCCTGGGCCGGGGTCCCTCTTGCAGGGAATCAGAGACAAAGGGCCTCTTCCAGGTGTGGGGGGCACTCACGTTCTTGAAGCCCCGGTAGAGGGACTGCAGCTCCTTCTTGGTGAACTTGGTTTGTGTCTGCAGCTGGTCTAGTCCCTCTGGCTGGTGGCGCACTGTGGACAGCTCCAGTTCACTGTCACTGCTGTCTGGAGGGGAACACAGACCCAAGAGAGAGAGACATGTGGTGTGGGAAGGTGCACGGCATGGGCTGGAATAGGGGATGGAGAGTGAATGTCTTTGAATGACTAGCATGTTCAGTGACACAGGCTGTGCACTGCACAACTGAAGGGGCTGTGACCAGGAAGTGTGCTCGTGACCTTCTGCTTCCCCCCTCGCCTCACGCTGAGCGTGTCTGCCCTCTCGGCCACGCAGTGAGTGGGGCTGGCTTTGTCTTTGAGTGGGGAGTGTGAGGGACCCTCAACCTGAAAGACCCCATGCTTAGATGGGTGCCCCTCTTGGCCCACTGAAGCCTGACGTGCTGCTGTTCAGCCACATCTGGCCCAGGGCTGTTCTCGCTGGGCAGGAGGGCAGACCTCCAGGGCCAGAGGACAGGAACTAGCTTTTTAAAAAGCACAACACACCAAATGTGAGCCATGGCTCCTCTGGGGGCAGGGAGGGCTGCATGTCTCTACTTTTCTATTTGTGATATTTTAGCTTCCTGAAGCACTGAAGAGGTGCCTCTGGCATGGTAGGCATCACTTTTACAAAAAAACAAACAAACAAACAAAAAACCAAACAAACTGTAGAAATAGGTATCAAGTGTCCACACCATGTCTCCTTCCCACTGACACAGGATATACATGCCTGGCCCTGCCGCCATCTGGTCTCCCCTTTGCCCTGTGCACCAAGTTTATCATTAGCAACAGCCCCGTGGGGCTGCCTCCTTGCTCCTACAGGAGGCGCCCTTTGATGCGGTCCCACATTGCTCCACGTGCCCGCGATGCCCTGCAGTGCCAGGCTCAGGGACTGTGGAGCTGCTCCACACCAGGACGCAGAAACATCGTGCCATCTCCCTGGTCCACGCACACCGGTCTCCAAGGTGACTACTTCCTATCCCCCTGCCTTCTGGCCATCTTTACCTCAGTAGTTTCCTACCCTGCTGAGCAGAGGGAAACTTCCCTAGCCCCTCCCTGTATACCTGGCCCCTTCCTGGATGTGGCCTGGACATCTGCTTTCCCTCCTCCTCCATGATGAGCTGTCCTTTTCCCTGGTGGAGACAGCCAGGCTCACCCACTCCGTGTAGGCCTCCTTTTTGCTCTTCTCTGGATCATTCTTATGATCACACGGGCACAGTATTAACACTGGCATTCCTTAGTCAAACACAGTATGGGCAAACCCTGCAAGCCAGCAGCTACACCCTGGACAGACATCCTACAGAGATTCTTGCCCAATTAAGGGGACCTGTACAGGAATGATCACAGCAATGGAGTTTTATTGGGGGGATTTGAGATTAGTCAGTGGTTCACAGCAGGACGTATACCAAGGGGAGCCATGCTGTGGATCAGATGTGCACACAGCAACACGGACAGCTGCTGAAGAGAAGTTTCCTGCCAGCTGTTGTTACCTATAATCCCAGCTGCTCATAGGGAAGCTGAGGCAGGAAGATTGCTAGCTGAAGGCAGGCCTGGGCATCAAAAAATTAAAAAGGGCAGGAGATGTTTCTCAGCTGGAGACTATCAATTACCAGTAGTGGTTGATAAATAAATGTACATTTCCTTTTAATTAAGAGACAAACTTTTCAGACTAGATGGAAAAAACTCCCAAGTCCAGTTAGGCTATTTATAAAAAGGATACCCTTAATATAAAGACACAGACTGATTTTAGAGTAAAAGAGTAGGCAAAGGATAAGAAAGTTGGACATTTGTTTCTTTCTTTCTTTTGGTATTTTGAGACAGGGTCTTGCTAAGTAGTTCTGACTAACCTTGAACTTGCCATGTAGCCTAGACTGGCTTCAAACTTGTGTGATCCTCATACCTCAGCCTCCCATGTGCTGGGATTACAGGCCTGTACCACACCAAGCCCAGCTTGGAAATTTAATAATGACACAAAGATTGCTTCATCTAGAAGACCGAAGATTCTGAAACATATATTACCTAGTAATACAGCATTAAAATACCTGAAGCAAAAAAAAAAAAATCAGAACAAAGGACAGATAAATCAGAATTGCCCTCGAAATTTTTCAGTAAGTGGCATAAGACATAAAAGATTGAGATATCACTATCAAACAACTTGACCTAATATTTTTAGAATATTGTGCAACTATAGAATACACTTTTTTTCCCCCAAGAGAACATTCTGTGGTTACAAAGATATACTGGGACATAAAACTGACTCTGTCCACAATGTAACAAGCTAAAGGTAAAAACATGATGTTTAGAAATCTCAAACATCTGGAGATTAAACAATACACTTATAATTAATCCATGGATTAAAGAAGAAAAATTGCAAGTTGACTATTGAACTGAATGATAAAGAAAACAGCATATCAAAACTTGGTGCCTGTAAAGCTGTGCTCAGAGGGTACTAAGTAGCTTAAAATTCCTATATTAGAAAGAAGACAAGTATAAAATTAATGACACAGCTTTGTGATCTAAACTCTTTTAGACTCTAGAAAAAGCAGAGCAAATTAAACTCAAAGTAAGTACAAGTGCCAGAGGTTGTGGTGCACACCTGTAATCTCATTATTCTGGGAAACTGAAGGGGAGAATCACAATTTCAAGCCCAGCTTGGGCAATTTAGCAAGACCCTGTATCAAAGTAAAAAGTAATTTAAAAGGGTTGGAGAGGTCACTTAATGTAAGGGTCCTGAATTCAATCCCCAGTATAGAAAAAAGTATATGAAAGAAAGGCCATAATAAAAATAATAGAAGTCAATGAAAAACAAACAGAGAAAATTAACAGAAAAAACTCAGTAGGCAAGTTATAGACTGGGAAAATTTATCTTCAGTACATGTACCTGACAAAGGAGTTATTTCCAGAATACATAGTGAACTTCTACAAATTAACAGTAAGACTAATAACTCCATTTTAAAAATAGGTAAATGACTAGGAGGCTTGACAAAAGCTGTGTAAATGGTGAATAAGAATGAGAAAAGGGGTGCTTGGATTGATGTTATCCAAGCAATGCAAATGATCCAATGCTAAATGCAAAACAACTAATCACCTCTCATTTCACAAAGACTAACAGCACCAAATGTGGGTGAGGATGTGGAGGAAAAGGGACACTCATACATTGTTGGTGGACGTGTAAGATGATATAACTACTCTGGAGAACTGCTTCGCAGATGCCCATAAAGTTAAAACACATATCAACCGTAGGACCTCCCTCCCGAATATGTGAAGGCCATATACAAAAGACTTATATAATAAGATTCATAATAGCTTTATTCTCAATAGCCCCAAACTGCAAACCATCCAAGCAATCAACAGAAGCACAAAAAAGCCGAATATTTATATAATGGAATACTATTTTTCCATTTAAAAAAGAATGAACCACTGATATATGCAACAACATGGAAACATCTCAAAAATATTATGCTGAGCAAAAACACCAGATGTAAAAAGTTTATATTGCATGGTTCCATTTACACAGGGCTCTGGGGCAGGCAGCACTAACTGCTGTGATGGAAAGCAGTGGAGGGGTGGTGGGTTCAAGGGCACACACTATTGTCAAAACTCACAGAACTGAACCTTGAATTTCTGTGCATTTTGTTGTATGTAAAGGAGTCCCCAATTAACAAAAAGCAAACACTGATTAGGTTTCTGTTTTCAGTCATGATGGATCCCGTAAGACTTACCGTCCCACAGCAAACAACTAAAACTGGAGGAAATATGTGAGACAAGTATCTTCAGGTTTGGACTACAACAAGGACCTGTGTGATGTCTGAGAGCAGGGAACCTGGGGTGAGCTCCACATGCCCCCTGGATATCTGCCTGGACCTTTCCAGACTATGGCACAAGGGAGTGGACATAAGCCAGGGAGCAGCAGTCTTGCTTAGCTAATGAGGTGGAGATCAGACTTTAGGGCTACGGGGGCAGGTGGAGTCTTCAGAGTGGGTGTGAAGGCACAGAAGCATCCCAGGAGGGTCTGAGGCCTCTCCTGGGGGGCTTGGCTTATGGCTGGCCTCCACATATTCAGAATGAGACTATGAGGCCCAGAGGAAAGCAGCTGCAGGGAGGTGGGCAGATGCAAAGAGATAGGGACAGTGTGTTACTTACTTTTCTCTTGTTGCTGAGACAAAATACCAGACACTCAAAGTTAGAAAGGAAGGGGTTTATTTGGCTTACAGTTCATAGAGGCTTCAGCCCATAATCAGCCAACTCCAAGGCAGGGATGACAAACAGGCATGGCAGAGCAGAAACAACATGGCACACACAAGGCAGCAACGCTAACAAGAGAAGTTTATAGCGTCTCCCTGCCCCTTTTATCCTGTTCAGATTACTCAGGGCAAGTAGCACTCACACCCTTGATCCTAGTGCCCTTGAGCCTAGCAATGCTTCATGAATCAATTCCAGCTTCACACACTCTAGATCAAGCCTATGACCACATGAGGCTTTGCGGGGACATCTAGACCCAAACCATAACAGACAGAGAACTAGAAGGACGTATAAGAATTATGCAGTGATGGCTCAGGCAGAGTGGAGATCGCACCCTAAGCACATCAAGGTACTGATAAAATTCCAGAACAGTCATATGTTAGGAGTAAGGACCCTCCCTGAGTAGGGCACCCTCGTATTTAAGGACAAAGTGAACACGAACCTACTCTAATAAAACCTAAAATAAACTCTATGAAGATCAAGTGTATCTGTCAAAAATTTAACTGTCTGCCAAACTAAAATTCAACATTTGTAGTATTAAAAAAAAAGCATTAAAGGAAAGAAAAGAGCACAAGATGGGAATTCTGGGAGAACAATCACACTAAAAAAGAACCAAATAAAACTTTTAAACTTGAACGAAACAATATCTAAAATTTAAAATTTACTTGATGACTTTAAGAGAAGAGTGGACACTACAGAATAGTCAGTGAACTTAATGGTCAGTAGAAATTATCCACACTGAAAGCAAAGAGAAAAAAATACCGACATCATGCGCAGAATCTCAATGACAATACCAAGCAGCCTAATATGATGTATTTACAATATC